GGAGATTAGGCGTTGCAGAGTGTTGCTCGGGAGGAAAGTAAACAAACCATTAGCTCGGCCTGATTGGTTAATAATTTCTGTGTTGTCTCTGGTGGATAACGGTTGAGCTGGCAAAAGTGGATATTCAATTAAGATTACACGTGATCGCATCTGCAGCCTCAATCTGAAGGAAACCGTTTGCGGTACGTATCTCGGCAGGTCAATTGGGAGAAGCCTCGGTACAGACCGGTCACGCTTCCGACTCCACGCCTCCACGTTCTTGAACTCCACGGCCCGGCCTCCGCAAGCTGAACTAGCACATGCATTTAACGTTTCCATCATCATCGCTCAAGTCCTTTCAGGAGTTACTTCTACAACTTTTCCCATTGCGACTCAGGTTATGTGGTGAGAGCCGTCTGACGGCTAAATACTAAACATGGCTATTCGCGAGGATCTTGTATCCTCTGCAGTAAGTTGACATACTCCCCCAGCCACCAAAGCTATTGGAACAGAACCCAGCAGATGCTAACTCCTGAATAGACCCAATGTCAGTATTGATTCCGATACAGCCATTACAAGTGCGCCGACTAACCCATGGCAGTTCTCCAGGACCCCAGTGTCGCGTCATCCTCCGTCGAGAACCGCATCTCATTCCTTCGAAGCAAGAACCTGACCCAAGAAGAAATCGACGTTGCGCTGGCACGAACAGGCGGTAGCGGACCTCCAGCTCCCAGCGCGCCTTATCCCAGCGCCCCCGCCGGCCCTCCTCCTGGTCAACAATACTATCCCCCCTATCCACAGCATGCCTGGCAACCACCGCCACCTCCTCCCCGTAGGGACTGGAGAGACTGGTTCATCATGGCCACAGTAGTCGGAGGCGTCTCTTATGGCCTCTATGAGTTAGGCAAGGTTTGTGCTTGCCATTGTAGCGATTTTGATGATGTAAGCTAACTTGCGACCAGCGCTACGTATATCCAATGGTCGCGCCTCCGACACCGGAGAAATTGGAACAAGATAAGAAATCGATCGAGGACCAATTTGACCGAGCTTTCACGCTTGTTGAGCAGCTTGCGAAGGATACGGAGAGTCTGAAGAATGCCGAAAAGGAGCGAACAGAAAAGCTGGACGCAGCGATCGCGGACCTCGAGACAGTCATGACCGACCTCAAGGCTGCGAATCGTCGTCGGGAGGACGATGCGACCCGAATTCGTGACGAGGTTCAGTCTCTCAAGGACGCGATTCCTAAGGCTCTCGAGAACCAAAAGGGCCTGACTGATAACCGGCTGAAGGAGATCAACACTGAGCTCACCAGCCTCAAGACATTGGTATCTCAGCGCATGGCCACCCCCAGCAGCAGCACCGGCTCTTCAACCATTAACACCTATATGCGAGGCACAGCCGGAACTGTTGGTGCCAGTGGAAGCTCCAGCGCAGCTACTCCTGCGGCCTCTACCTCCACTCCCGCTGCTAAGACCAACGGAGAGAAGGCCACAGTTGAATCAGCTACTACCACCCCTGCTGCAGAGGTCCCCAAGCCTACATTCCCCTCTGCTCCTCAACTCAACCGTTCATCCTCCCCTCTCGCCAACATGACCGGCAAGAAGTCGATCCCTGCTTGGCAGATGGCTATGGCTAACCAGAATGATACATCGTCGACTCAGGTCAAGGCGGACGAGCCAAAGGCTGGCGCTAGCTCCAGCTCTTGAAACAGTGAAGAGTATACTTGACCATAATTGTACAATATTTATGCATCCATAGTTTTGGAATAATCGGGTCTGTTGAATGGAGGTGTTTACGTGGCGGGATGGTTTGGTATTGTAGCGTTATATCGCCATTGTCAATTTTACCACATTACTTATTTGAGCCTAATTTACAAGCTCGTAAGACTATTCATCTGCTGTAGATGTGGTAGGCCTAGTATGATCCTTGGATCATGATTATACAAGCCGTGATAATTCTTTAAATCAAGCAAAAATACTCCGAAACCCTGACATGACAGTGAAAGGTATTATGAAGAAGTTATGATATGCAAGATGCTTGATTTGGACAGAAAAGCCTGCAAGATCCAATACCAGTATTGTTTTAAGTTCCGCGCCTAGTTGTTTGCTTCTTCCCACCTCGCGTGCGCTTACATGCATCCCCTTGCTATCGCGCATGCACTCAACCTTGACGCTGCCCGCAAGAATTACCATTTTGGGCTTGATGAGCCTACCAGTCTCATAACCCGCACTCGACCAACGCATTGACCGTTGAAGGCTTTCATCTCAAAGTAATTACTAGTAGTCCAGTAGATGAAGGCAAAAATAAGAGTTCGTCTTGTCAAATTCGCTGGCCAATCTCCGCAATATCATTCTGGTTCTGTTGCCGAGGGATCTGATTCATGTCTGAAGCGCTAGTTGCAACTCCATGTAGACGTCACTTGAAGGTTGGGCTGTGAACTAATTCCGTGTGCCTCGGCTCATTTTGTTGAACCAACGCATCACCTCAACTGATCACACACTATGATTTCTCTGTGATTTGACTGACAAGAGTGAAAAGGAACAACTTGTCACGACTTAAATATCGACCTTTCAGCTGCCAGAGAGTTCACGCTGGCCCTAGGTAACCACACCTAAAAGCCCACTTACACTTACAAGTGGCAAAGCAACAAAGTGTCATGGATCTCCAAGATCGCCATTCCGGACAAGGACTTTGACGCGATTCCAAACAGAAAAGACAGCCCCTGATTGGGCTCTGTTCGAGGGAGATCATTGAAATTGGATCCAAGGGGTCCCTAAGTCTTTGTCTAGTTAGAAGCCGCTGTACGACAACTCTTGAACTGCCTCAGCTGGTCCTCTCTTCTACTACCCCTCCCTCTAACCTATTACCCATACCTTTATGACTCGGGTCACAATCGGGCAAGTCTATGTAGTTCTGTTTATATCAGGTCAATGTCTTCCTCGACCTGTCCCATGCCCATCTGTTGTCTTGATCACTTCGTCTTTGTCTGAAAATCACTTACATCGCCTCACCTCAACGACTATACCACTTTACATAACCTTGACATTGAGACCGCTATGGACTCGGCAACTCTGGAGACTGTACGGACAGTCGTTCCATTACTCCCTCTCATCGTCCGCCAGGGCCTAGCACACATCCTCAACCTTTCCGACTCATCCAAATATCTCGACCTGCGAAGCGCCATCATCATCGCCTGTCTTCGCGTTATTCTCACACCAAAGGCTCCCCGTAGTATATCATCTGTCCAACGACTTACACTCCGTGACTCTGGTATAAAGGGGCACATCTGGGTTAGCAAATATGCCAGTCCACGACCCCCAGAGACATCAGTCCGCGATGCCCTCATCAGCACACTCGAACACCTTGGAGGCTCCACCTGCCGAGTCCCCGTTCCTGATCTCGTTGATGTCGAGGCCGAGTGGACCGGCTACCGGAGCGGTGTAGCCCGTGGCGCTCCGTTGCCTGATGTGTCGGAGCGGGAGAGGTACCACGGCATGATGCAAGAGTGCAAGAAGCCAACAACAGTCTTGTACTTGCACGGCGGCGCTTACTATCTCTGTGACCCAGCAACACATCGTCCTACAACAAAAAAGCTGGCGCAGTTGACGGGAGGTCGGTGTTACTCAGTGCGCTATCGACTTGCGCCGCAGCATCCATTCCCTGCGGCGTTGCTTGACGCTTTTGTGTCTTACTTGACGCTTCTATATCCACCTCCGGATGCTTATCATGATCCTGTGCAACCGGAGCATATTGTGATTGCTGGTGACAGGTATGTCTCGGGCATGAGTCGTGTGTCACAAGGACTAACATAGAAGGTTATAGCGCCGGCGGCAATCTTTCACTGTCGTTACTCCAACTCATCCTCGAGCTCCGCAGACAAGACTCTCCAATTCTGTGGCACGGCGAGCTGCGTCAGGTTCCCATGCCAGCTGGCGTAGCACTCAACTCTCCATGGCTTGACATTACACAAAGCTCCCCAACATGGGAGATGTCAACGCCAACGCCATGTGATTATCTTCCCAAGCCGGAGGCCATCGAGAAGCGCACAGTTCCTCCGTGTGAGGCCTGGCCAGCTAATCCACCACGACGGAACATGTACATCGCCGACGACCTCGCTGCTCACCCTCTTGCATCTCTCGTCATGGCGCGCAGCTGGAAAGGGGCGCCGCCTATCTACCTTTGCACGGGATGGGAAATCCTTGCATATGAGGACAAGTTTCTTGCTCGCAAACTCGAGGCTGATGGTGTGCGAGTGGTGTTCGAGGAGTACGAAGGTATGCCGCACTGCTTCGCTATGATGCTGCGTAACGCTCCTGCAACGCCACGGTGCTACAGCGGCTGGGCATCATTCATACGTGCCGCAGTGGAAGACCCCGACAGCATTGAGTCGAGTGCTGTCATGATAAGGGCGAAAACATGCGAAGAGGTTCCGTTGAGGTTTGACCAGTTGAGTGATGTTTCAGAAGAGGATATTCAACAAAGGGTGCTTCGGAAGACAGGGTTAGATGATCGGATTCTAGAAATTCCAATAGCTAAGCTTTAAATGGTGGCTTTACTTGACGACGGTTTGAAACGCAATTGGGCATGTAATGGGATTGGATACATATATGGGATATTGCTTGGAAGCTAGGCGCTAGGAATATCGTTACACATGTCAATTGCTCTTCTTGGTAGCAGAAATTCCAATTCTATGATGATTTATTATCTTTTATTTGTGTGGGATCCAAGTTAAATGAGTAAGGTAGTGTCGCTTTGGCATATGGATGTCTGACTTATATATGAGCTGCCCAGCAACTGAAACGTTAACATTAACGACCGGCACCCTCGGAACTTATAAGCCAAGACTCATAGGATCAGCACCCACGTTACGTACCACGAAACCTCAAAACCAAAACAACTGTTCTTCCATAAACATCAATTGCTTCTTTTTAAAACAATCAATTTCCATTCCGGCTCCGCCTCCACACTTCCGATCCCCGAGACCGGCCCGCACGGGAAGACCCACCAAACTTTTATCCCAAATGTCGCTGATCGCTTCACCTGAAGAGCAAAACAAGCCACCTCCAGACTCAGAACCCGGGTCCCAGTCCCCGACAATGGAGCGCCACAAGCAGGCTGTGACAACCATCGCATCAGCCGTTCGCGGCTTCTTCGAGCGTCGTGAGCCATACCGCATCTTCCACGGCAGCACGAATAGCACGCGGCCTCAGCAGACAGGCAAGCCCGTCGTCGATATCAGCGCCCTTCGAAATGTCCTCCAGGTCGATCGTGCGACTCGCACTGCTCTCGTCGAGCCCAATGTTCCAATGGATAAGCTTGTTGAGTCTACGCTGAAGCATGGCCTTGTACCGCCTGTTGTTATGGAGTTTCCTGGTATCACGGCCGGAGGAGGGTTTGCAGGCACAGCTGGCGAGAGCTCCTCGTTCAAGCACGGATTCTTCAATGATACTGTCAATTGGGCCGAGATGGTTCTTGGAAATGGCGAGGTTGTTCGAGCATCGCGGCAGGAGAACGCTGACTTGTTTCGTGGTGCTGCTGGAGCTGTCGGTTCTTTGGGCATGACAACGCTTCTTGAGCTCCAGTTGCAGGAAGCTAAGAAGTTCGTGAAGACGACCTATCACCGTACGAGCAGTGTTGCCGAAGCTGTTGCCCGGATCCGCGCCGAGACCGAGAATCCTTCCAATGACTATGTCGACGGCATTCTCTTCTCCAAGGACCATGGTGTTGTTGTTACTGGTACCCTGACTGATGACAAGCCTGCCGATATCAAGCCCCAGACCTTCAGTGGTGCTTGGGATCCCTGGTATTATCTCCATGTCCAAGATCGCACTCGCAATATTCCCTCCGCTGGCCCTACTGCCTCCGCCGAATCTGCCTCATCCTCTCCTGTTGATTATATCCCTCTCGCCGAGTACTTCTTCCGCTATGACCGCGGTGGTTTCTGGGTTGGCGCCGCTGCCTTCACTTACTTCAAGGGTGTTCCTTTCACAAAGTTCTTCCGCTGGTTCCTCGATGATTTCCTTCACACTCGTATGCTATACCGCGCTCTTCATGGCAGCGGCGAGTCTGCTCGTTTCATCGTCCAGGATCTGGGTCTACCTTATAAGACTGCTGAGACCTTTGTCGATTACACTGCCGAGAACTTCAACATCTGGCCCCTATGGCTCTGCCCTTTGAAGCAGACACCTCCTCCGACTTTCCATCCTCACACTGGCGAGACCACAACTGCTGCTGACGGAACTGTGACCACTCCACCATCACTGAACATTGGTCTCTGGGGCTGGGGACCTTCTGACCCAGATGAATTTGTTGCCAAGAACCGCGCTCTCGAAGATAAGCTTGTTGAGCTAGGAGGTTTGAAGTGGCTCTATGCTCACACTTATTACAACGAAGATGAGTTCTGGAAGCTCTACGACCGACAATGGTATGAGGCTCTGCGAAAGAAATATCACGCCGAGACACTTCCTACTGTTCATGACAAGGTCAAGGTTGATGTTGAAGCACGAAAGGAAGAACGACAGAAATGGAAGCGTTCTCTCAAGAGCAAGCCCCCGCTGGGCGGCCTGTATGGTATCTGGAAGGGCATTCAGAGCAAGGACTACATGCTCCACCGACATGCAGAGTGGAAGTTCAAGGAGGAGAAGTAGACGAATACCCCTATTTATGTACGAGTAGAAGATAGTTGTAAAAGTATCGGAACACGGCTTGGAAGCCCATGTTCTTAGATGTCATTTATACCGACAACCACACAGTCGCTGATAGAAGAATAGACACGAGTTAGAGAAAGGTTGATCGGTTGAAATACTTTTTTTTTTTTCATATTCCAAGTATCGTAAACTCTTCTAAGCGCCAAATGACCAGGTCTATATGGTGCGGGCCTTCACAAACTTCCTCGTAAATCTCCCAGGAGAGACGGTCCCCAGTACTTCCACAAGCCAAAATATCCATAATTATTAGCTCAATTAGAGGACCTCGATGTCAATCTCCATTGCGCGAATTGCGCTTCTATCATCATCCGCTATATTCTTCTTCCCTGTGCGTCTAGTTTTCTCCCGTTGAAGTCATCATGTTCATGATATGCTTACTGCTTGGTCCATAGCTGTAATGGAACCAAGTCTAGAAGCGAAAGTGTCTCGTATATAAGTTCGTTCGAGCAGGGATTCTTTGGATTTTCAAAAGATGATCCTTTACTCCTTGATAGCGTACTCGCGCTTGAACATGTCGTCGACCTTGGTAAGGTAGTAAGTACCAGGGGCGATGGTAGAGGCGTCACCCTTGGGAGTGTAGTCCTTCTGGAGATGGGCCTGCTTTCGGAGGTTGCACATCTAAAAACAGTTAGCGCACGTTTTTTTATGTATTGCGATGAAATGTTCTGTATTTACCTCGTCGTAGGTCTCAGGGGGGACAGCGCGGCGGGCCTCGAGGCGGGCAGGGATGCTGAGGACGCTGGAGATCTTCTCAACGCTGCCGTTGATGCGGAAAGACAGGAAACTGGCAGCAAGACCAGATCCGTAGCTGAAGAGACCAATTCGCTTGCCCTCAAGAGCCTTGTTGTCGACAACGCTGATCAAGCTGGCAAGACCACCCCAGACACTGCCACAGTACATGTTACCACAGTTGGTGGCGACCTGGATGGAGGGGTTGACGCGCTCCTGGAAACGCTTCTTGGTGAGGGCCATGAAGGTCTTCTCAACAACCTTGTCGGTCAAGGACTTCTCGTAGTCCATGTCACGGAGCTCAGGAGCGACCTCGGCGAAAGCAGGAGAGTCGGCATTAGCGAGGTAGTCGTGGTAGAGGAGACGAGCGTAAGACTTCTGGACAAGCTTGCAAGTAGGGGAGTGGAAAGCAAGGTAGTCGAAGCGGTCGAGGCTGGTCTTGGTAGACTCGTCACCGTTGGAAGCACCGTTGGTGCCGTTGGTGGCCTGCTTGGCCTCACGCTTGCAGTAAGCGCGGTAAGCGGCATCGAGGGCCTTGGTGTAGCAGTTGACGGAGTAGTGACCATCGACATAGGGGTACTCGCTGGTAAGGTCGGGCTTGTAGAAATCGTAGGCGTGCTGCATGTAGGTACCACGCAGACCGGGCTCGGCAACAATAGGGGCGTTGGGGCCGATCAGGAGAGCGACGGCACCAGCACCACCAGTGGGGCGAGCGTTACCCTTGGCGTAGAGAGCAATATCACCGGCAACAACGATAGCATCGCGACCGTCCCAAGCGGAAGACTCAACCCAGTTGATGGCGTTGAAAACAGCGTTGGTACCACCGTAGCAAGCGTTGATAGTGTCGACACCCTCGATGTTGGTGTTGTCGCCGAAAAGCTGCATGAGAACACTCTTGACGGACTTGGACTTATCGAGAAGAGTCTCAGTGCCGACCTCGAGGTAACCAATCGAGTTGGGGTCGATGTTGTAGTTCTTGAGGAGCTTGGAGGTAGCAGTAAGTGCGAAAGAGTAGATGTCTGCAGAAATCGCATATTAGCGGTGATCCAATGCCATCATGAGATTTCCCCAGGACGCGGTGAGGATAGGCGCAATGCGCTAAGATCGTCTTTTCAGGGGACGGTGAAGAATTGGAGAAACTTACCCTCACGGTCGTCGCAGAAGCTCATCTTGGTCTGGCCAAGGCCAATGGTGTACTTTCCGGCGCTAACGCCATCGAACTTCTCGAGCTCAACCTGATCAACATACTAAAGAGCAAATAAAATTGTGGTTAGCTGGGGTCATCAAGGAGGCGTTCGTTCAAGCGTTGGGATAGAGGGGCACAATCTGAAATGGAGGGGCACACGACCAGAACCCGAACACGAGAGTAATAACGCAGGGACTTTTTTTGTCCCATCCAAAAAGTTTGGTGAGGGGCAAGATTCAACGACAACAGTTCCCAGCAGAAACAGGACAACATGAGGACATTGAAGATTGTGTGACGATGGCGAACAATCGCAGAGGGAATAGCTCAGCTTACCTGGCTAGGGACATAAAGCTCAATGGCCTTGATGCCAATGTTCTGAGGACGAGACATGATGAAGGATTTGGGTAGAGAAAGAGACGGTTGGTGGGGGGTGGAAGAAGCAGAAGAGGAAGGACAAAGAAAAGAAGAGATGGAAGAGAAGTCGAGAAAGAAGAAGAGGATGTGGAGATATCTTATAATAAGACGATAACAAGGGAAAGGAAGAGAAGGGGGGATCCGGAAGAAGAGCGCGAGATTGCGGGTTCAGGGACAAGCAGTAACTAGAGAGTGTGTGTGTCTGTGTAGGAGTGGTCTTGGTGCTTGTTAGGTTGAGATGGACTGAGATTGGATCTCCAAATCCAAGGTGAGGTGAGGTACTGTAGACGGACGGGGTGTGATTTCAGTGAGTAAGTGGCCGCAGCGGGGTGAAACGAGTGACCTTTACTTGTTGGGCGGGTTACCTACCTAGTTAGGTTCAGAGGTATCAAGTTTTTCACCGCCCTTTGCCTTTTTCCACTGGATAGGCGCTGCACTGTTGGCCTCTCGTGTAATTGGATTGGTTGCGTCTGAGTTTTGAGGTACTTGTAGGCTTGGAGTTAAGGTCATGGATCCTTGGATCATGGTCATGATGGACGATGACCAACTTGATAAGAAGCTTGGACGTCAAACAACAATACTCATAACTAACTGTCTATTGTTCGCAGCCTATATACGCATTTAGATCAAGAGACAATTCTCCCTCTGATAATAACACCGAGCCATACCGTGATATGACTCGAGATCATGTCAACAAACAACTTAGTCATGACCTCACTACAACTCTCGCAGCAACCGAGAATTTTTTGTTTCCTCCTCTTCCCGCTCCTGGCTTCTGCAGCACATGTCGCCTCCTGCCAGGGGCAAGCCTCAACCGCCGGTGGGTGCCGGGCCAAGATGTACCTGGTGTGCTTGACAGCGGTCCTATTCGGGCTTGTCTTGTTGTGATGGGATGGTGTGGATTAGCTGCTGCTTGGTGGGACCTTGGACGGGTATAATTGAGTGCCTGCGGTAGCGGTAGCGGTAGCTGCTGGAAACACGAACACGACAGCACATAGTCACTAGTGGTAGGTGATTAACCTGGGTTTCTGGTAAGGCTTGATATCCGGTAATTAATCCCCCTGTAATTACTACAAGGTGATCCTTCAATACCCAGTATTCCTAACGGGCAGTGGCATAATATCCGTGTGTGCTCATCTACTAATGGCTTTCAAAGCAATCAATAGGTTGTTGGGAGGGTGGTCTGTGGTACAGTTACAGTAGGCAGGCCTCTTCGCTTGTTGGCGTTTAAACAATGTTTCGAGGAACCCTACTCAGTTTAGTAGCTGATCTGCACTACCTACCCTTTAGAGTAACTTTCCGAAAATGAATTCTTTATTAGGACTCTCTTAGAAAAGAGCTTACATCTTTTCTTAGTAAGACTTCGGGGCATAATCTATAACAGTAGCAAACCGGATTTTGTTAGAGCCAATGGAATTACTTGTCCAGTCTGTGATGAGGTGCCACGAACCTCCAACTCACTCCACCAGACACAAACGGGAGGCTGTGGCCTAGAACCCGTCTTTTTCCAGGGACTACCCGCTAATTAGCAGGGGACAACAGCGTACCATCGCTTCTAATCCCGCATCACTGCGCTTACCCTTTTTTGGACGGCTCCATTTCATCCCATCAACAGCTTCGATATTCTTCAACTTCACCCATGCACTCGATTCGTACAATACAACACTATCAAGACTCTCCATGTCTATCATATCTTGCATATCATCGTATTCTTATGAGACAATAGTGTCAGCACTAAAACCATCTATATCATTGGGCTATACATGTATAGCTAGCTACATGGGCCTGACTTCCAACGACTTGGCTGGAATCACTCAATGGATGTGTCCCACTCTCTCATCGCTCAAGTTCTTTGGGCCCATCTGCCGTTCGCGTTCTGAATTGCGTGTATGGATGGCTAATTAGTGTTTCTTTCTTACAAGTACCTATACCCCAGCCATGGCTACTAAGTTTTGATTCCCCACGCACGATATGCTGATGGAGGCAGCTATGATGTGATTTCGACGGCTTGCCTCAAGACTGCTCTATCTACTACATATTTGTTTCTAGTACCACCTGATGACAGCTTTTCGATATCCTTTAGGCTCATCGGTTAGCCAGTACGATGGCCAAACACTCAATTAACATCCCCAGCGTTCTCGGAGAGTACTTACGCTTATGGACATAAGAAATTTATCGGCTGTGTCCCACGCCGTGCCCCGTCTTTAGCGTCATGTCCCGGTTTGTCCCTCATGTGCAACTTGCTTCATCATACAATCCCTGGCTTGTGACGACGTCAACTCGTACTTCATTATCAATCGCTCAGCATAAGATCCGCCGCATTCCGTTCTTCGGCGTGGGTCAAAACCGCCATCCTAAGTCTGATATAGCTAGCCTCCAAGACTTTGACACACTTTTGTGTCCAAGTCCGCCGCTATTCGGCCTAAGATAATCAACGTGCAGATTCCTGCATCTCAGGTACTGCCATCACGCCTGATTGATTATCGCTCAAGATTTTCGGATGGGGTCGGTCGGCGTGGAACCTGAATGGTATCCATCTAGCGTCTACGTACCTCTTGGACACGGGCCCTGCGGATGGCAGAACTATGTATCGCCCTCTTACGCCTCACGGAAGGATTGTCAACGTATGCATTATAACGTTTCAACGAATCCATGAGAAGCTGAAGAATGATAAGACAAGACTGAACGTGCAACCGTCTTCGGATTGCGCTCTCTTATTCGGGTCGATCATACTCAAAGCTACCTAGCCTCCCAGCCTTGTAAGCCGCATCGCATCCTTTTTGTGCATCATCGTAGGGACCTGCATGGGTAAAGGTCCATTGCAACGACACGATTAGTGGCATCTTGAGACACTCGGATCCTTTTGCGAATTCGACCGTTCAACATGATTCGCATTGTTCGGTTATTACTCTTGTTTCCAGAACTCAGACAGCCTTCATCATCTTCCTCTTCTTACTGCGCACACTACTCCTTATCTCTTGGTCCAAGCAACCCCGTAAGGATCTAACCGACCCCAGATCCTGCCCCTAGCATGACGTGTTGGTACAACGGCATCGATCTCGAATCTCAAGCACCTTTTGCCGGGGGTGAGAATGCCTGTCGCTCTCGTGTTCGCTCAGCTAATGTTTCCTTCATATGGGGATAATAACGGAAACAAGTTAAAGTACACAGAACTCTCCGCAAAAAATCGTTGACTTAGATTTGATGAAAGTTGCATAGCTCACAGAATTTACTATCATTGTGCAAACTTTTGTGATATACGAGTCACTGTGAAAAAGTAAAGATTTGACAAACTGAAGTATGACTATTAAGTGTATTTTAAAAAGTTACGCTGACGCTATTGAAGATGATCAATCTTTTAAGTTGACAGATGCAGAAAACTCCCATCCAACGCCGCTGTATGCGTTCTCTATCAGACTCTTCCATTCATGCAAATGATTACGAAGCAGTGTTGGGGGTGTCGTATCCAGAATCAGAAGTTCCCTTGGACTTGCTTGCTTCCTCCTCTGGAACCTCCAGTTTCTTCTTTTCCTTCTCCTCGGCTTCCTTAGGCGTATCTTGAGATTTCTCCGTGTCCTTCTCGTCCTTCTTTTCATTCTTCTTCTCGTTGGTGCGGGCTTCAGTCTCGGAGTCGGTATCAGAATCAGAAGAGTCGGAACCAGAGCTCTCGCCGTTACTCTTTCGCTTGGCCTTAGCCTTGGCCTTCTTCGCCTTTGCTCGTTCCTCCTTGCGCTTCTTCTTGGCTTCCGCCTTGCGGGCCTCCTGCTCCTCCTTGCGTCGCTTCTCCGCATCCTCGATTTCCTTTTGCTTCTTCTCCTTGCGAGTTTCAACCACCCACTCATCAACAGCGTCAATGGCGGCCTCAGGGTTGCGCTTGTGCTTGAGAAGCAATCCTTGGATTTCGGCAGGGCTGAATTCGAGCTCGGGCATCTTGGTAGCGAACTTATCGGCAAGAGTATTAACTCGCTCCATGGTCTCCTGGCGGGTCTTTTCAGCCAATGCAGCCTGCTTCAGAGCCTCCTCGGGTTCCAGGATTTCCACATCCTTTGCAGGAGCACCCTCTCCCTCATATGGGGCGTAGATGGCACGGAAGATAGAGGCACTCATATCAACGTCGGCACGACCGAATTCAACAATCATATCGACACGGCCAGGACGGATAAGAGCCTTGTCCAGCTTCTCAAGATGATTGGTAGTCATGATCAGGACGCGTCCTTCTTGGGAGGCAACACCATCGAGGATATTGAGGAGTCCCGATAGTGAAAGTCGACCTGGGAGCGCAGGTGCTGTAGTAGGGGGGAGACCAGGCTTGGCAGGTGCGGTGGTGACGGGAGCAACTGTCTCCTCTGTGTTTTCACCCTTTGTATCCTCGCGAGTGTGAGTGAGACCAGCAGTGTCAATATCCTCCAGAAGTACCACGCAACGGCGAGGGAGCTCGGCAAAGAGGGTTGCGAGGTTCTCTTCACTAGCCATGGTAGAGCTCAAACTGACCATGTAAATCCGCATGCGAAAGAAACCAGCCAAGGCCAGACTCAGCGAACTCTTTCCGGTTCCAGGGGGGCCGTAAAGAAGATAGCCACGGCGGTAAGGGATACCGCGGTTGGAGTACCAGCGGCGGGTGTTGGGGTCAAGATAGTCGGTGACGTCTGCAATCACATCTTGCTTGACCTTTTCGTTGAGGATAACCGTGGAAATGGGGCGGCTAGCTCGACTCATGCATCGTTGCCATGTAGGATCGCCGCCATTTTGACCAAGTGAACCACGGTAAATGATGGTCTTCTTCTCGTCCTTCTTCAGATACTGTTCACGAGCGTCGACGAGGAGCTCCTTGATGATACGGGGGTTGCGTCCGAAGCAAGAGATGGACAGCTCCTCTCGCTCGCTCGAGGTGAGGAACCCAGAGCGCTCACGGTTCTCATGGCGCTCAAAGAGAAGGACATGGCCCTTGTACCAGAAGAAGTGTGAACCGACCGAAGGGGTATACTGGAGAGGCTTCTTTGTTGAGCCAGAATCTTCCTCTTCGTTGTCGTCGTCATCCCATCGAAACAAGAACCAACTCCTAGAGTTGATGTTTGTGTTGACCATGAAACGTCGGGAACCTTGGGCAAATCGTTGGTTTGCCACCCAGGCCATCACTATGTTGTAGATCTCATCATCGGTGCGAATACGTACAGCAGACATGAGATGCTGACCGATAATGCTCCATGAATACTCAGTGATATAGTTCCAGGCAAACATGATACCGGAGATAACCAGGAGGAGGGGGATGTAGAGGTTAAGGTCGAGACCGAGATAGGCATGGACGATACTTGAAAAGGTGGAAAATCCAGGGAAGAGAAAGTCCAAGATGGCAAACTGTGAAGGAGGCGCATTTGGGAGACCAGCGGCCTCGCCAGTTGTGTTGAGGGTCTCCATACTTTGGGCGTGGGAGATGGTCTGCAAGAACGCAAATGGTCCTATCATGCTAACGTGCGTCGGAGAATGTTGTATGTAAAGAGTGTATGACAAGAACACAGAGAGCAGGAAATCTTTGGACCTGAAGTAAGGATGTCAGGAATACCTAATCAAAGGGCGTCCTCAGCTGATCCTAAACTTACACAAGTCTTGTTGTTGCCGAGGGAGGTCTCTCCTTGCAGAGAAGGAAAGGTAGTTGAGGCCTGTGATGAATATGGCTATGATAGATGATGGAGGCGAGTTGTGAGAGAGGAAAAGTTGAAGTGAGGGAGGCGACGAAAGGTTTTATAAGTGTCAAGTTTGTATGCACGAAACGTGATACTGGTGCGTAAGGTAGGTACTAGAAAAAGAGGCATCCACACCCTCCTCATACGTAGGAGGTAAAGGCGCGCCATCAGCCTTACAGCTCACGAATTGAGCCACTTGAGTCACAGCCCGCGTAAACCAACTAGGATCAATTCTCCACGCCGTGACACAAGTGGAAAAGTGGTTTTGCGTGTGGGGTAGAGATTGGCGTTTCCTATTAGACAAGATAATGATTGCCGCTTGAAAAAAAACTAGGCATCACAGCATCATCGTTAGGCAGCAGATCCGTTTTTTGCTCCATGAAACTTTTGGGGTCAATGATACAGTTTCTAAAGACTCTTTGGCACAGGGAAACGGTACCAATTACTCTTTGAATTATCTTTTCTCTCCTAAATTGGTCTAAACATGCCATTGCTGTCATTGCCAACTTTAGAGAGTTATGCATCCGTCCAACGGTTAACCACAGCCATCAATACCTACCTACATATTCTTTGTTGACTTCAAAGATCTTTGATAAGGCAATTAGGGGCTGACCCGCTGACCCTCTTGTGCTCGGCTGCCTCTTTTCTGTGAGCAAAGCGAGTCAAGACATTGGATTGGTTCAGGCTGCATATACAGTACGACACTTACAGGATGACTGCATTTTCCAACGCATTATACATACATACAGCCAAAGCAGGGATAACTAATCAGGGTGTTTCTTTCGTGCCTCAAGACTACTGTCGTCATATTCAATCTAGACCTTTTCTCCCCCTTTGTCTATCTATCTAGGTATCTATCTGGTTGACTTACACCTCACTCTTAGCACAAGCCTCCCGGCGGAGCATCACCCGGGAAGAGTCACGGCGGCGTCGAGATCCAATCGGGCGCTAGACCGTATCTGTTCCACCGGGAGGCTGTGTTTCAACCATTTCCCGGCAAGCGAACACCCGCTGATGAATATCATTGGCTGATACGTAAGACCAAAGGGTCTTGTTGACAGGGGGGTTAGGAACATTTGATGCATTGCAGACTTGGGAGCATCGCTCAAACCCGAAGGCGGGTGGGGGGGACCAAGAAAAATGAAATGGGCAAACACCAAGGCTTTCTTTCTTCTTGCTGCCGCAAACGTTACGTATAGTAGTTTGTGCATGAGAGGGAGCACACGACACTTCTTGAGTCGTTAGGGGCATGTGAATGGTCGAGACTCTCTATCCCTACGTCATTTTGTCCTTTAGTTACCCGGTAGCAATCATCGAAAGGTCTAGACCCTCAGTTTTCAAGGTGGACATTAACAATTCTGGTTTCGTTCCTTGTTATACAGCTCGATGACTGAATTGCTACACCTGTGTGGCATTCGATATAGGTAGTAATTTGTGACGTAGCAAATAATCCGAAGTAATGGTTGTACCATGCTTACTTAAATATAACATTCGAACATAAAACATATAGCATCAACTCGTATTATCAAACTATGTACATTTATAATCGCACCACCAACCCTGCAGCTTGAAGTGCAAGAGGTCAATACGATGTCCTAACGGCTATGCCAGGAAGAAGCAAAGAACAGCAAGCGACATTTCGTTAAATTAATGCATGTAAGCAATCATGATTTCATTCATAACCCTTCAGTTGTCTCATAACTGATTTCCATAACGCCATGTTCGCCATCCCAAGTTTGTTAGCAATACATATCCAAATACAATCATCAACGTGAATAGAAAGCATAGCACTGATCAATAGGTTCTGCTCCTTAACCCAGTCTCAAGACTATTATTAATCTTCCTCAGAACTCCAACCGTCTGATTCTGAGGAGGGACCTCCTCTACCGCCTGGGTGGTTCTGCCCAGTCAAGTCGATGAAGGGAGCTCCGCCGGGCATTCCACCGGGCATCTGGGGATGCATGGGAGGTGGTGGAGGCATGTGAGGAGGAGGGCCAGGATACCCACCCATCATCGGGGCAGGGGGATGACCACCACCGAAATTGGGATCATAGCCTTCATCATAGATACCATCGCCGTAGCCGGCATCATAACCTGGGCCTCCATCATAGCCTCCGTCCATGGGTGGGGCCATCGGAGGCGGAGGTGGATGTTGTGGTGGGGGACCGCCGTTCATGTTCATCGGCTGAACCACCGGCCGAGGAACGGCTCCGTCAAAGTGCTTACGGGAGCCACCTCCGCTCTTGTGGCCCCGTCCACTTCGCTTACTAGATCCACTGCTGGTGCTACCCCTACTGCTACCACTGTAATAGTAGCTGTTGGGATGAACAACCCAGTAGAGCTGTGTGTCGGACTGATCCCAGTTGGAGAACGTCGAGCCACTGGAACTGACTGAACGGTCATCCCGGTAGTCTCTTGTTCTCTTCTTGACAGCTGTAGCTCCGGGTGGTGCTCCAGCTACCCACGAGAGAAAGCGGAGAGCCTTGGGCTGTTTCTTGGGTATTCGGGTATAAGTAGTCGTCCATGCCGATGAGCGGCTGTCATCTGAGTAGACGGATGAACGTGACATGGTGGATTATTAGAGATGGCAATTACTTGGAGAATGAGGCGGGTGGCGATGAGCTTGTGAAGTCTGAATGTGTAGATGGTGTGCAGTTCACGAACCAAAGCAGTGAGCTGAGGCTGGTGCTGTGCTGAAGGCAAGGTGATGCTTGCCAAGCGTGGTAGAATGGGCAATAGAAAGAAGGGGTTCCTTGTTCAAGAGAGAAGAGATCGACATGAAGAGCTAAAGAAGAAAGGACGAGGCAAACGAGAGACGGACATGGGAGCATGATATAGACGGGAACTAAACACACGGACTAGGCGAGGTCTACACAACATCTACGTACTCGGAATTGATCATTGCACAAAAGCAATCGTCAGGATCGGCTGCCTCGTCAAGGCATCTCATATTCTGCGGGCGACGAGAAAAGAGGCTATTGTCTCCTATGGTTGTTGCACATTGCACAACAGGACAGGCTGTGGTAGCGGCAGAAGCAAAGAACGACAGGGGGAGTTTGGAGTCAGCAAGTGAGTGGGTGTCGAGAACGTCCGTCGTGCAGCGTCTTCTGTGCGAGCGGGCTCACACGATACGACTCTCCAGGTGATGTGCAGGACGGTACGGTACCGGTACGCTGCAAGTGACGGGCCGCCAGTGATTTTTGGCTGACGGCGGGAGGGAACAGACGTTCCTTGAGGCTCTCGGGCGAGCAGCCAAGGGGTCATGGACGCTGTGCAAGCTGGACGATCGTGCGCCACGTTCGCCCTGCTTTGGAGAGGGGTAAGGTGATAGATGATCTAGCACAGAGATGAGGGTGTAAGAGATGCAAATCTCGTGGGCGAGTAGTTTAATGTGAAGCGAACACACTGCACGTTGTAGTGGTTCGCCAGTAGTTGTCAAGTTGGACTAATCAGTATCAAGTAGACGATGAGATATCAAGTTCAACATGGGATTGACAGCTCGGGTTGATCAACTCAATTGGCCATGGAACACGAACAGGCACAGCCCATGGAACTGAGTTGGCGGAGAGTCCAAATTCCTTGAAACTTGGCTGACACAAGACCCGTTCGACAGCATAATCCACGAACGAATATCATAAAAATCAGGACACTTTAACTAAACACAACAGGCTGCGGAGCCATGCGAACGCTCGAGGGCAGTGGATAACTGACGCCTAGACGTCATACAGCTGCATGCATTTCGCTGTGGCTGCCTTTTCCTCTTTTCTCACTGCCTCTTATCTGGAGCGAAGCAAGTTAAACGAGGCTGCAGTGCGGTGGTCTGCTCTACGCGGTGCGTTTTCAAGCGGTGATGTTGAGCCCCAACGATTGGCTGCTGGAGCATGCAAGCTGCCGCCGTAACAGGGTTGACTGGTTGGTTATGCGTGAGAGGGGGGTTGTGCTGTGACATGATGGGATTGGAAGAGGTTTTATGCAGTTGCGAGGTGAGCAAGAATGTGACGGGGTTGAAAAATAACCGCCTTTGGAAAGGGTAGAGTTGCTCTTTGGAGTCAAGAGGCTTGTGGAAGTGCAGAAACGAAACGAAATATGAATTATGAGGCTGACGATCCAGGGATAAAGGGTCGAGAGTTGCATACTGCGAGTGCCTTTCTGAGCTTTTTTGATAAACTATTCTAGGACTTTATAGGCTGCCAGACGTGAACATTTGATTGTAGGGTAACATGTAGTCGATGGCCTGATAACAGAGATTGTGTATTCGATACTCTGGTGGCATAGTACTGTACAGAATGTCTGACAATCTACCTAGCATACCTGGTACCATCACCATTTCACACAGATCACCACTTTGAAGGATCAATCTTGTCAACCGTGTGATCTGTGGACTATGCGAGTGCTCAACTCTTGTCTAATGACATTCGTGTTGAACATGTGGTTAAGACACCAGGCAACCCGAGAGTTGGGTTAAGTATCATGGTTGGTTCATTTGTCAACCGGCAGTTGGAAACTACTGTACCCCAGAAATGACATGAGTGGGCTAGAAAAAACAAGGCGAGCATTTTCAACGCTTCATTTTCAACCGGTGTGGCAGATATAAGAGAGAGATCTCACCTACCTGTGCAAAGATCAATGAGAACCATCTGTCCGACACCATCTTCTCAGTGACAACGCATACATCGAAATCGTCCAACTTTGTCTGCATCTTGAGAGACGCGAGATAAAGACTCTGGTTGGATAAGGCACTCTTCCAAGAATAAGTGCGCCGTTGAGCATGCTCCGAGTCGTGTTGCACGTTTCCGAAGCATACAGAAGACTACATGAACCTGAGAGACAGTCAAAGCTCAACACAGGTGAGATGAGGGATAGCCCACGTGCAAGCCATCAGGGATACAGGGAGAGAGCCGACTAGCCGACCATTGGATGCTATTCAGAACGAAGTGGGAAATTAGCATCGACAACGCCCTCGCTCTGTGCAAATCGACAAATGACAATTCTACAATTCTAGAAGACGAGTTGGAAAAAACTTGGATATTATGTGGATCTATTATGAAGATGGGGTTTTCGCTTGGGTGAGCAAATATTTAGATCATCTTTGGTGAGATCAGCGGAGACCAGGAATGACAGACACTGACGGACTGAGACCTGGGAATCAGGAGAGAGCATCGTTGCCGGTTCGGCCGGGATCGCCCATTTCGTGCAGTGCGATATGAGGAATGTGACGGAAGTAAGGAAGCGCCTGAAATTGAGTGCTGACAAGCCATGCAGTGAAACAGAGAATGGGAGTCAGTTCATGACTTGCTTTCACCTGATCTTGTTCCAACGATGATCAGACTGCCCATCTTGAATAGTTCATGGTATAGACCTTGAACTCATCACGGCAGTTTGAACTCGGCTGTAAACAAAAGGTACCATTCGCACAAGGATCGAACTGGAACCGATAATGGAAGGCCAATGCCACGGAGTGTGCTACCGATGCTGCACAACCCCTAGTCAGGTTTGGTTGCCAAGCGGGAGAAGAGCCGACGGTCCAAGGCAATGGATGGATGACTGAAAGACATGGAATCATTGCCGAGACTTCCAATGATGAAGATGATGGCAACGACTAGTTATATCCATACTATCTATCTATGGTATACGTTAGCTCTGCATCATGATGTGTCGAGGGAATGGATAACTGACGGACTGACTGTAAATACGAGGATCCACCACGGAAACACCAATATCAACACCCAACTATGCATATCCGTACACAAACCCTCAAAAATAGAGTCTTGCGAGTACTGTTCTGTAGCCAAGTTCCGATGACCAATGACGCAGGAATGAAACCTCTCCATTAGTGATCCATCCACAAAGACAAGCCCAGTGCTGCTCGCTGAAACCGCTCCAAGCTGCTTCACTGGCTGTTGCTCGAAACGGGGTCCTCGGTCCACCAATCGCATGATCCATGGCCCCTAGCCCAGGTCCGTCGTTCCAAACCTGGCCCCAGGTACATATGTGCACTGCCAACCGACCCAGGGGGGATTTGTGGTTTTTCTGATGATGGGGGAGAGAGGGGACACACATTGGGGAACACGGAGGGTTCAATTGCAGACAAGAGAGTTAATCTTTTGCAGATCATGACTGCTTGGTGGGATTAAGAATGTGCTGAGTGTCGCACAACCGTCTTCTTCCTCGTGCATGCCTCTTCTTTGTCTCTTGAGTTAGGCCTTTAATAAGCTTTCTCGCGCCCTGAACTCTTCAGGTACCTTAGTTAACTCAACTCAGGTCCAAGGAAAACAAAAAACCTACGCTGAATTGCTAGCTCAGGCTGTTCTAGACCATCTTGAGCCTAGCCCAGACTCCCTAGAGGCCTTCCCCTTTCCAGACCAGTCCTGACTGGCTTAGGATGGGGCGTTGGGTCCACCGAAGCCCGCTGGGAAAGTCGGGACCCTCTCTTGGTATGGCGCCTGCTTGTCTCCTGTTGGTCTGTTCTCCCAGTCTCCCTCCTTCTGTTTCTGTTGTGTAGCCACTCCCAGTCGCTCCCTCGCTCCTCTTCGAAACCCGCTTTCTCTTTCTTGGCTTTTTGCAGTTCTGTCAATCCCCATCGATCCATCCATCTCATCCCAACCACGACTTAACAAATCATCATCATCATCAATCGAATTGAATCGGTTTCAATCTCTCGAATCACTCTCGCTCATCCGACTATCGACCCGACTCGAGTCGTCGAATTTCCCGTTTCGAACTCAATATTCGCTCGCTACAAACTGTCTCCTTATCTGACTTTGTCTCCCGAAATCGACTCCCTTCGCCATTGGCTTGCCGACCGCTCCCCTTCGAATCCCGACCGTTCATCGCCTCTTTGATTCTCGACGTCGACTTCAACCTCTCGAAATTAAACGACTTGTAGGGCACGCCCTTGCCGGCGTCTTTGGCTTGAAGCCCTAGCCTCCCTCTCCACCACGCCATGGATCCCAGCAACGGCAAGGACTTTAGCAACTCGCGTCGCTCATCGACTCGGCGCTCGCGTTCGTTGAGGCTGTCCACGGTTAGTGGTGCCGACGATGACTATGACCTCAGTGCGATGATGGTAGCGGATGGCTTCCGACCCTCCGATAATGCCACCTCTTCCTCTTCCATAAACCCGACTTCAAACTCCAATACCCAACCCGAATCTTCATTATCATCAACCGAATCCTTTTCCCAACAGTCGGCATCTACAAAGTCATCACAGGCACCCCTTATCTCTGGATCAGCCGAAATCGCTCCTGCTATCCGCAATCGACCTTCTAGCATCTCAAAGCCTCACCGAAATCACGACTCCCTTGCTCTTCGAAACGACGGCACATCAACTGCTGACCGATCTCACATACGCAACAATCACAGCCTATCGTCAGATTCTCCGGTAATTCGTGCCGAAAGTCCATATACAGGCCCGTCTGGCCCCTCCCATCCGTATCAGATGTATCCTCAGCGAACAATGAGTGTGGCTACAACATCTACCACCGCCAACGCAGTCATACCAGAAGATCGCTCTTACGGAGGCACTCAAGCTCCAACTCATCCATATGCTCTTTATACACAAAACACCACCTCTGGCGAGAGCACCGCACCCTCTATTCCAGTGGGATTCAATGGCTTGGGGGGAAATTATCAGCGACAACTAGGACCGGATGGAGAAGAGGCAGGTGATTTGGTGGGCCCATTGGGCCATATGGAGGAACTGCCGCCCTACACCAGATACCCGGATAATGCGTATGTGCCTAAACCCGTAACACAAACACCTGTATCGCCAGTATCACCCGTGTCGGAACCACCATCCCCCACGAGGGAAATTCCAGGAGCTGGCGGAATTGGTATGGCAACTCGCGATCCTGAATTCTCATCAACGGATGATGACCTAGCTTTGCCGAGGACCCGCCCTTCAGTCAGAAGCCATGCCTCCGAGGCCAGCCATCACGACATCAACACTGCTGCCGCCGAAACTTCCGAGAAGCCTACTGTCAACAAATGGCAACGTCGGGCAAAGAAGAAGCTTTGGGGAATTGTGCCTTACTGGGCTATTTGCCTCCTGCTTGTTGGCTTGATTCTCATGGGCATTATCATGGGTGCTGTTATTGGCACTATGCTCACGAAAAACCATAACAACAACCCAGATGAACCCCCCGATCCAAATAAGTAAGTTTTACTATTGACCTTTGCTATCATGCTAACTCCTGTCCAGCAAATATTCCTACCAACCTCCGACCACGACAACATATGACCCTGAAATCATCACAGCCATACCGACTGACTTGCCCAAAATGGCAGTAGGGCGTTTTGCACTTCCTAATATTGATCCTAGCCCCCAGAACAGCAATGCCTGTTTCAACGACTCGCAACAGTCATCGGCCTGGTCCTGTGACATTGTCGTCCCTATGTGGTCAATTCAGATCGATAGTGGCACAAAACCCAAGTCCAAACCTTGCTATAATATGACTCTCAAAGCTATTCCTGATAAGGATACACCATTTCCGTGGGGTGCTCAACCTCCCAGCATTCCTCAGCCAACGCCTATGGTATTAGTTAACGACACGTTGGAACTTGCACGCGGTCCTGCTTGGTGGATGAGGACAAAGTACAACAAGACTGTCATCGTTTCCGAGAAGAAATTCGGCGCTGCCTTGAGCAAGCGCGGTTGGGACAGCGACGATGAATACGAAGACTACAACTCTTTCCATCGATTTAAGAATAAGGCTCCCCCGAACGCTAAGAAAGGGGATAAGCCTTGGATATGTACATGGCCAGACACTGTCATCGAGTTCTTTATTTACCCCGGTGAAAATTCTTCGACCTATCATCCCCCTTCTGCGTCAGCTACTGTTTCTGGAGGTGCCACTACCACATACAGCACTTATTCTGGCACACCCACGGCCGACTGGAGCTCTTGGAAACAACCTGTGCCCGTGTTCCCCCATGTTTACAAGATGGTTGAACGCCGATTTCTATGGGGTGAACAATCCGTGGCGACTTGCACTCAATACGAGATTGTTGGCGACGGAGATGTGGCTGTGCCGCTCGAAAAAGATGGCAGGAAGGTTGTAATGGTCATTGTGGAACAGGAGGATGTTGACGTTGACGACCTGGACCTTACATTCACAAAGCGCTCAGAACTTGAGACCAAGAAAGCGCTTCGGCAGTTACTAAAACGAACAAACCCGTCACTTACGGATTGTGGTTGCTCGTGGACGTCACTATAAAGAGTTGATCTCTTTGATATTGCCCTTATTTGGCATGGGCTCACTTATTTATACATGACGAGCCATACCATTTTATACCTTACACATTCTTCTTCGATATCATGGCGTTATACATACACGACTAAGGGGGCCATTACTGGATGACACGATTCTTCTATATTCGTCGTGTCTATACTGATTTTCTGTCATTACTCAAGATTGCATCATGCGAGAAGGAACGAGACTCATGTAACGGAGTGCATTTTGGGCCACAAATCGAAGGAAGGGAATATCTGGAGTTATGGGAGCGACTGACCGCTTACGAAAAGAAATGCCTATTGATTCATTTAAGTCCTTTGATTTGTGATTTTGTTTTACATTGGCTACAGGCGTCTTTTTTCACTGTCGATGGTACATAAACCCGCTGTTATCAGCCTGAAAATATGATTCTCAGTTGTACTTGAAATTATTGTCAATTCAACGCCTGTTGATTCAAACAGATTCGTACCCCATGATGACTTTCTCACAATGATGTGCATGAATAGCCATTATGTACCTGGACAAAGCGATACTCTTCTGCTCCAATGGACCTTAAAGGTCCGGCTTGATCACTTATCATTCCATTATCCTAGAACGTCGTTCGACTGAGATGTTCGGCGCAAGAACTAGGAAACGAGGCTGCGTCCCACAGCGAGTCGTTCATTGATCCGACCTCCCACCGTGACGTCAACTCGTCTTGACGTGGACTACTAAAATTCGCTGGAGAACGTTCGATAGTATCGTTATCTTGTAAACACAGCCTCGAGGCCGTGCGTCTGATTTTGTCAAGGTCTCGCGGGCGTCACTGAGCGTCTCTCGCAACAGCCCCCTCGCTTTCCGGGGTTTCCCGAATCTCATTGTCGATGATGTCTTTCCTTCCATCTCGGAAATCTCGCATTAACGACAAGAAGACTGAGTTCTTCCACTTCTCGCCATCCTCATGCTCGACTGACTCAAGAAGGCGCTCTGCAGCATCTGCAACTTCTGATTTTGTCTTTGTCGCCTCAACAGGCTCTGTGACCACAGGCTCCTCTGTCTCAAGAGAAAGACTGGCAATATCTGGTGTTGCGAGCTTGGTTGAGTTGGCCTCCAATGTCGGCTCAGTGGTTGTCTCTTGTTGCGAGGCTTCTGCTTCAGCCTGTGCTATTGCTGCGTCATTGAGTTCCAGCTCACGAGCCATCTGGTCCATCATGGCGTCAACCTCTTCCATCCTGCCACCGGCGTTGTTAGCCATCCACTTTGACATCTCATCATCAAACCCAGCCTCTTGAGTCGTCGCAGCACTGCCGTTCATGAAGGCACCGTTGGCCTGGCCATACATAGGAGCGAAAGCAGCGTTTGGTTGAACAAATGCGGCTTGGAAGTTCATCTGGGGAGCTGGCTGATGCATCTGAGGTGCGGGCTGGGCGAAGCCATTCTGAAGAGGTTGACGCTGCTGTGACTGATTTGCGAAGCGGTTGAAGTCTGCTGCCCAGTTGCTCACGTCCACGGAGGGAGAATGATGCCCTTGACGAAACTGTGGCGCTTGCGCAGCGTGAAAGGCTGGCGAGTGTCCTTGTTCAAGGACAGCGGCATGGGCTGCTAATCTTCCTGCTGCATGATGCTGAGGAATACCTGGAAGAGTTGATGGGCCATCCATGAACGCGCCAAAGCCATCTGCGCCTTGCATTTGTTGTGGCGTAGATCTGAAAGACTGATGATGTTCAGTTTATAAGTCTCTGGTGAATACGTGAGTGCTTACAGAATGACCCTGAGGGCCAGCGCGATCTATGAGTCTGTCTTGATGGTGGCTGACATCTCGGGCCTGGTGGTCAATAAGACGCTTGAAGGGTGTTCCTCCGCTACAAGAAGCGTCCGCCATGATTGAGTTTGAGTGAGATGTTGGATATATGGGTTGATGAAGATGCTGAGAGAGTGTACCTCGGCCTAGGTATGTGATGGATGGGTCTAGTGGCGCGTATATAGTGAGTGGTATATAGTAGGAATGTCTGACGTTGAAGCTCAAATAAAGATGCGAGGTTGAAGATGAATAATCCAAGAGCCGCTTTCCCCAGAAATCAAGTCCAAGTTTCCAATTCAAGACCGAGTCCCGATGGCTCGTGATTGCCCGCTCTCCCGCCCCGTCCACTCCGGGGAAGCCTCCATGCGCCGAGGCAACATTAAACTCGGTACGTACTGCGCCGTTCGGATACAAATGCGGCAAGTGGGGATGTTCATTCAACTCTAGGTAGGTAGGTCACGCTTATATCCACGTGATCTCTAGCTTGGCCAACTGTCACCACCGCCACGGTCTGGCGCGGGCCACCTCAGATAGCTCCAGGCCATGGGCGATATCGTGTCCTCTGATAGCCACCTTTTCTATATTCCATCCTTTTTTCTTGTTTCCTTTTGCGCTGTAACTTTGGTGTGAAATCTAGCAAGATGGTAAGTGATACGTGACTCATGAGATCCCCATCTTGTCCCATCTTTAGCGAGCAACACCCAAACCAAACTTGTTCTATTATAGCTAACCCACCCCTTTAGTCGGCGCAAGTTATCACCAACTCTGGTCATGAGGACATGATTGTACGTTCCCGCTCCCGATCGATGCAACTCGAAGCTATGCAACACATAGCCAAGCTCGACACGATATCTCCCTACGATTTCGAATCATACTGACAGCTACTCCTAGCATGATGCTGTCCTCGATTACTACGGGCGCAAGCTAGCTACCTGCTCTGGCGACAAGACGATCAAGATCTTTGAGATTGAGGGCGAAACCCAGCGCTTGATCGAGACTCTCAAGGGGTAGGCTTGACATTGCCCCCATACCTAAGGAGGGGAAGCTGACAGGGTCGACTTACAGACATGAGGGTGCTGTCTGGTGTGTCGCTTGGGCGCATCCCAAGTACGGCAACATCCTGGCATCGGCTGGCTACGATGGCAAGGTATTCATCTGGAAAGAGCAGGGCGGACAGAACAACGCATGGCAGCGAATTTACGATTTCAATCTACACAAGGCCTCGGTCAACGTCGTCTCATGGTCTCCCCATGAGGCTGGCTGTCTACTAGCATGCGCCTCCTCCGATGGCAACGTGAGCGTTCTCGAGTTCAAGGACAACAGCATCGACCACACCATCTTCCCCGCCCACGGTCTCGGCGTCAACTCCGTCTCCTGGGCCCCCGCCACTACCCCTGGAAGCATCGTCAGCAGCGCGCCTGGTCCTGGTGCTACCGGCAACCGACGATTCGTTTCTGGCGGCAGCGACAACGTCCTCAAGATCTGGGCTTTTGATGCTGCTTCTCAGACATACAAGCAAGAGCGTGAGCCCCTGACTGGACACACCGACTGGGTTCGTGATGTTGCCTGGTCCCCTACTGTCCTCCAAAAGTCCTACATCGCATCTGCTTCGCAGGACAAGACGGTCCGTATCTGGACATCCGACCCCTCAAACCCCACTCAGTGGGAGTCCAAGGTTCTCAACTTTGAGGCGGCTGTGTGGCGAGTTAGCTGGTCGCTCAGTGGCAATGTGCTGGCGGTAAGCGGACAGGACAACAAGGTGTCGTTGTGGAAGGAGAATCTCCGAGGCGAGTGGGAGTGTGTCAAGACAATTGAGGAATAGATGGAGGCAGAGTAAAGCGCGACGCAACTATGAGTACAAATAGGAGAGCCAGGCGTTCAAGGCAAACAAAAGGGTGATTATCTTGCTATGGCCTCTTGATCCTGATGTGGGACGCAATGTGATGAGCGCGAATGTAGCTGAACAACGAACGCTATGCGTGGGCTTGCGTTTATCACGAGGCTTGGACCAGGTTACTTTTCTGGCGGGATATTGTGATGGTTGAAGAGAGCCACCCTGGCTCAGTAATAGAACTGAGAATCTTTAGAAATGTTAAATTATCGATCCTTGGATATTCGCTTGCTATGGACATACGAACAGCTGTGCCCACGGCTCATAGGTAAACTGCTGTTCCAACTTGGGACGTTGATGTAAAAGCTGAATACCGTCAGGAGCAAGAAAACTTCAGATTTTAGCGAGAGGTGCCAAAATAAACCCAGTGAAAAGTGCCTTCAGCTTGAGCTAAATTACACATATAAATATTTCTATCTCTTAGGGTCAAGGTCCCAGGTTTTATTGCCTGCCCTACTTTATGCCCCTTTACGGAGTAGTGCTGTTGTCATATAGCACAAAAATCTCACGAGTTGAATCAGAGGAGAAGAACAGCCGATTCTTCTTGTCCAGGGCCAGGCTGACAGGGCGGAAACAGTCCTCCCCGCATCTCGCCATGTTATGGTTTGAAAGGATGTGTTTGACGGCAGTTCTACTTTTTATAGCGGCCAACGCAGGTTGTCCCTTTTTGAAGTCGATATATCCGACTTCATATCCCACCGGCTCAAAACGGTTCCCTGAGTAAGGTATGTCAGTCAACTGGCTCAGCAGGTAAGGCAAGGCGGGATGATAACTTACAGCTTCCATGGAAAGCCAGATATGCTCGTGTGCCGTCCGGGTGGAATTCAAGGCCTATAGGGGCGGACTGGGCTTGGAACACTTGGACGGGAGCAGTGTAATCCCTTACGCATTCCACATCAGTTCGACGAGAATGTTGAGAGCCCCGATCAGCAGCAAAGTGTTCGCCAATCCTCACGTTACTGCGGCGAGGGAACTTTTCTATGGACCACACACTATAGCAAAAAGGGTAGCCATAGTTGCTCCCGGTGCTCTTGCCAGAACCATTGAGAGTTCCGTGGAAGTTCAGCTCGTCGCCCGGGTTATCAACGCTGATATCTTTGCCATCCCGATGGAGGATCTCATAGGAGTTCTCAGTGCTGAATATTCCACCAGTACCGGGGTGTTCTGCTAGGCCCAGAGCGTTGCGCAGACCCCAGCCGAGGCGGGCACCATTATGATGGAAGTCATGGGGCTTCACGACGGGGCCGTCGGGGGCTTTGGATTCGAAAGCTGAGGTGTTGAAGACACGGATCTGAGCGTGGCCAGAGACAATCGCCTCGGCTTGCGGGTCGCCACCGAGGCCGCTCCCTCGGGAAACGATAAGCAACTCAGGGTGTTTTTGTGACATGAGAAGGGACCGCCATGTATGGCCGTCGTTAGCCATGTTTTCGACTACCAGCTGCTCTGAGCTTTGATTCAGCATGGGAATCTTGGGATCGTAAGAGTATGACCAGACGCTATTTGATGAGGAGGCATATATGGTGCGGCCATCCTTTGAAAGCGCGAGCCCGTGGTTTAGCTGTAAATTGATCAGTTGGTGGCCGTCAGTGTAAGAGACCGTGGATGAAAACGTACACTGCTCTTTTTGAGCAAAATCGTCTTCTTTTCCAGTCGGACACATCTTCCTCCTTTGTCACTATCGTCGAGCTTCAAGTGAATTATACCGGTTATAGAATCTAGAACGAGGAGAGCACCCTCAGTATCAAACAAGATGGTTCGAGGTTGTCTGAAGTCGTTGTGAACGACGGAATACTCCCAACCGGCAGCGGCATTAGGCTTAGAGCGCCTCGGCTTGAGTTGTTCGTAGCTGCATTGTTGGCCTGAAGCGAAAGAGGCGATCAAGGTTGAGATCAGGGTAATTACAGCGACGATGCGGAGGGAGGTCATCTTGAACGATGAGAGGATGACCATGACCATGACCATGGAGAGGGTATTTGGCCTGCACAAGAGGAGAGGGGAAACATATTTTTTATGTTCGTGGCTTGAGGCCACTTGCTCGTACAGTTGGAACTTAAGGTTCAAGGCAGAAGAAGTGCGATCTGATCTGCTCTGCTGAGATGTTGATGTTGATGTTATTCTGTTGTTTGACGTATTATATGATCGTATCTTTTATGGTGTTGGTTTCCTAAGGTAACAGCTCCGTATAAGAACGTCAACCTACTCCCCACATAACGCTACTAACCTACCTAGGTATTGCTTAGTCGACCGAAGCAGACCAAGCCTACCTAGTTGAGCCAATCTAGAGCCACTATCAAAGCAAGCCACAACAGGTAGCCATTAGCAATGGCCTTGCTCGTACATATTCAACATGATGATACACCTTTCAAGACTGGAATAATGATTGATATCGATACGTACAATTAACCTATCGGAATAGGTACAGCCAAGTTGGGTCACTTGATCTCAACCGAGATGGCCACAGACCTTTAGACTGAAACAAGACTAGATATGTCATCACAAAACCATTCTTGTTTCGATCATCATTGTCACGTTGGATGAGGTCTGAGTGTCACGCCCCTGTCCATAATATGCAGGAACAAAGTCTATCTCACTCCTATGTACTACAAGTACCGGAGCCACAACGCCATGTCCTCTTCATGGCCCAAATACGCAGCATACTCAATACTATATTACTTACGTGTATTGATGCCTGAGAGGAGACGCTTTGCTTCACCGATCTGCCACTTCACTTGAAGCAGAAGTTACTTTTTATGAGTTGGCCAGACACCATGGAAAGCCTCAAAAACAAAAAAAAAAAAACAAAAAAAAAAGCCCCTATTGATAAGTTGCCTCAGCTTAGCTCTGTGCTATAACACTAAGCTGGGAGACAGGTCACTTTCCCAACATTTGCCTAGTTAATACTGGCATGATAAGACCTTCGTATCAGATCCCAGAGAATTCGACGAGGTTTCAATTGCTACTCTATAACACCAGACTATTGACGGGGAAGTTTTACTGTACATAAACAGCAAGTTTTCAGGCCGCAATTTGGATAGAACTCTAGAGCCTGACTTGAGATCTCATGTTGATGGAAACCAATGAGACAGAATCCACATAAAAAAGCACAACTATCTCGTATCGAGCTTGACAACATAGACTAACATGAGTGATCAGACCCCTCGTTTAAGTTATATTGAGGGTTCACCGATGTTACTTACCGCTGATTTGTTCATGCGATCACGTGGCCTATCTCATCACCAACTCATCTGCCAATACCAATGCAATCACGACTTCAGGCCTTTGACTTTCATAAGTAACCCAACGTCACATAAAACTTGCACGTTTTCCTCCCACAGGGCCTCGCGATTACCCCGCTTCTACCGCGTTACAGGTGGTTGGCCTTCTTTCAGTCGTCATCAGAAGAGTGATGGCTGATTGAGGCGTGGCAAGCTGCAGCGTTGACGAAAGTTGTCTCGTCAGCTTTTGATAGAACCAGCTGAAGAGTAAGTAAGGCTTTTGAGCTGACACATATGCAGCTACAAGGCATTGGGCAGCTAACTATAACATTCTTGACTTGTTTGCCTGCTTTAGGGGCAATGGATGCTTAAATCATATGAGACTGACTTGTACACTGGAAAGAAACCAATAAATCGGTGAGTAAGTAGAGAAATAGAGGAATAAAAAAGGACTCTGCATAATGACATCGGGTGCCAAGATAGAGATGCACAATGCCGTTTCGAGGCGCTTAAAAGTGTGCATATATCGCGTGGTGTTGCAACAACCAACGACCACGTCGCTTGTGGTCCGCCTCACTTATAAGCAAGATGTGCAATGTGCAACGTGAGAAATAAGAAAAAGCAATTAAGAAGCCATCATATGCCGAAGTTCACGGTCGGAGGCTTGACCTAGTCAGGGTCGAGTCATGAACCAACAGAGTCGCAAAGGAAGAGGGTCAATAACATGTCAAATATGTATATTTCCAGCGTCAAATATCTATAGTAGAGCGTCTGTTCCAACTTGATCACTCAACCATGTTGCGCACCACCAACCTCAACCTCAATCTCCCCCTCCATCACTCTCTCAAGTCAGCCAGAACGACACGACACGATAGGAGGGGTTATTCCTGATTGACAAGGGGTGCATGTGCAGCCAGCCACATAGTTAACTAGTCCAAACGTCCCTATCGTTACACTCCACAGCCCAGCCCAGGCGAGGCCAGGCCACGCACAATATCGATCATATGCACCCATACTACATACATACATACTTACAGGTCGTAATGCTACAGGTCATTTTACGATAGAATCCAATCCATGTTGTCATATCTTGCTTGGGACTTGACTTGACTACCGATCTCTTTAATAGTCTGACCACCTCTTTGTTAGCAAGCGCTCTCTCTCTCTCTCTCTTCCGTTGTTCCAACATTCAAGCACAAGTCATGGCTATCATAAACTCGGTGACCGTTTTCCCCTCCTCACAGATTGTCTGGGGCATAGTCTTTCTATCCTTTTGCTATGTAGCTGCTGTTGTGGTTTACAGATTATACTTTCATCCCCTCGCCAAATATCCCGGCCCCTTTTGGGCACGTATCTCAGCAGTCCCTGCATACTACTATACCCTCAGACAGGATCGACATGTATGGTTCTGGCAACTGCAAGAGAAATACGGTGAGCATTACATGAATAACACAAGCTATTAGAACATCTCATTTTAACACGAATATCCCTATAGGTCCAACCTTTCGTATTACTCCCAATAGTGTCTTGATCAACACTCCCACAGGCCTCAAGACCATTTTCAAAAACAAGGCCAATGTCAAAAAGGCCGAATACTATAAGACATACCCACGCAATGTCCATGTCATGACAACATGGAACACCATCGACAAGACCATGCATGCTCGAAAGAGGCGAGTTATGAACCATGCCTTTTCTGACAAAGCACTACGCTCCTGCGAACCTTTCATCCATTCCAACATCGACCGGTGGATTGAGCTACTCGACCAAGAGATTGGAGAGAAGAGATGGTCTCCTTCTTTAAATATGGCTCGTTGGGCGGATCACCTCATCTTCGATACCCTCGGAGAGTTGTGTTTTGGTAAATCGTTTGGCATGAAGGAGCACGATAGCGAGTTACGACATATCCCAACACTCATGACTGACTTTATGTCGACAATCCACCCGGTAACTAAGACCCAAAACATCCAAGTGAATATTCCTCTTACTGATGTTGTATGTTAGATTGCCTACTCCCCCTTCGCTCCTCTCTGGGCATGGCTCAAGCCCCGAGGTTTGGATTTTCTTCTTTCTGCAGCAGCTCCTCCAGCATTTAGCAAGTGGCAGACTTTTGTCGAGCAATGCTTCACTGAGAGAGTCCAGGTCGAAAACAACATGCGTGGCTTGTGGGAGAAAGGCGATAGTCGAAAAGACTTCTTCCACTATCTCTTCCAGGCCGTGGATCCCGACACTGGAAAGGGATATAGCAAAGATGAGCTTTTTGGTGAGAGCGAGTCTCTTATTATAGCTGGCTCTGATACCTCTGCTATAAGTCTTGCCGCTTCTTTCTTTTACCTTTCTCGATACCCATATGTTCAACAAAAGCTGTCGGAGGAGATCAAGTCTACCTTTTCCAGTGCAGACGATATCAGAGCTGGTCCAGCTCTTTACTCCTGTCACTATCTCCGAGCTGTCATCGACGAGACGCTACGTATGAGCCCCCCTGTACCAGCTGATCTTTCACGAGAGGTCCAACAAGGTGGCATTCTCGTCGATGGGGAATATATCCCAGAGGGCATGAAAGTCAGCACCGCGTCCTACTGCATGCACCACAATCCCGATATCTATCCCGAACCATTCAAGTTTCGTCCCGAGCGTTGGATTGCTGACGAAAAGAATGAGTTTGGTGTTTCTCCCGAGAGTGTCTCTCTAGCTGAAAGTGCCTTTATGCCTTTCTCCGCAGGTCCTCGAGGATGCGTCGGGAAGAACCTGGCTTATCTCGAGATGAGTCTGGCTCTGGCCAAGATTGTTTACCACTTTGAGATCCGACGTGATTTCAGCAGCAATCTTGGAGGTGGTAGTCCCGACGCTATCGAAGGTCGCCGTACTGTTGATCAGTACCAATTGCGAGATATCTTTGTTGCTATCAGAGATGGACCTATGGTACAGCTTGCCAAGCGTTCATAGACGGATTTATTCCTCTTTAACGGGCTTGAGATGGCTCTTGACCACTACAACTCATCTTGACTTCACTTTTTCTGATTATCTAGGCTTCGACGACTGATACTGGATGTATCTTACGCTTCATGTACTACTATGGAAACAATTTGGCAATTCATAGAGTTTTTAGACTTTCAATAGGTGTAGCTTCAACGCTATAAAAGCATGTAATAATTTGAACTGTTCATTGATGTTGATTTTGATCCTACATGGTGCAGACAATGGAACAGAGATGACACCTGTAACTTTTCATCTGTAGCATCTTTAAGAAAAGTGCCGTTTCAGCTAGGAGTGAGCTTCCTCTGGATCATTACCTTGGTCCTGACTCAATCCCTCCATCGACAGGTTGTAAAAATATCTAGGATAGAGCGAGTGTCTTGCCGTTTCAAAGACATTATTACAACGTCAAGTGAGATCATCACCAAGTCAAGACACTTAAAGTTTGTTGAAGGTAATAACAGGCAAGCCTTTGCTTCCCAAGTCTTTTTCACTACGGAGTACATCTACATTATCGAGTCGTTGCTGAAGTCCCACGCGGCTTAAACATCTCTTCCTCTGAAGCATCATGCCTTGAGCATAGGCTTATTTGGTTTCAGAGCTGCCGTGAACATGAGGATCAAAAGATCTTTGTGGAGGCAAACGCTGCTCACACATGCACTGAAGCGTGACACACCGGGAAACAAACGGTCTTAGTGTAGTTGGATTAATCCTGTGCTGTATATCAAACATCAAGAGAAAACTATAGGAGGTCTACAAAGAACCCCAGATTCCATGCACCTTGACGCCCGCCCTTTGCGAATCTCAATGGACCAAAAACCTTCTCTTCCTTCCGCGTATGTGCTTTTGCTCTGCCCAGTTATATGGGACCAACCTCCACCAACACTCATCTCGAAGACGAAATAGTAAAAAAGAAGAAAAAAATGGAACAGGGGAATAAGATGACCTAATATGAGGGGGAATAGAGAAAACATGGGGGGAACGCGGGAGGAAACAAAGCTACACAAAGTGTGATAGACAAAAGAAATAGGTGACGGTTACACGGTCTTTGATCTCTAGGTAGGTAGAGGGGAGAAGTAGATCATGGTCTAGCGCAGGCCAATAACACTCATCTCGAGGGTCCATACTCTTCGGATCCAGACCTTGAGCTTGCCCTCGACACCTGCAACATTTTCAAGCTCGACACCCTCCCACCAGCATCGCCGAGCAGGTTTACGCCAGAAGAGCAGAAGCTTCTGGGCCATACCGACAGCATTAGTGCCCATCTCGTTACCCCGGATGTCGCTGCGTAGACGGGCAAGAGCCAGACTGCAGATGACGGCCTTGTTAGGCTCACCAGCTCGATGACCCCATCGATCATCATGATTGAAACCACTAGTACAAGTAAGCATGCATTGCCAGCTATCAACAACACACACAGGTAGAGAACTTACCCTGCCGTCAGCATCTCGATCAAGTGGGCCTCAGTAGTACCCGGCTCGTCGCTTCGCTTGAGACCCGAAAAGATGCCGTTCTGCTGCTGCAAAGCCTCTGCAGCTGCCCGTTTCACAGCAATCATATCAAGCGGGCCAATATCCGCTCGTGGAGGGATAGCATAGAAGTCGAGGTCCTCACGCAGCACAATGATACCGGCTCGCTTAGAGTCGTCACGCGAGGTACCGAGAGAAGGCGTATCCTCATCCTGAGACGCATTTGGTGAACCATCTGTGGGGATGGATTGTGCTACGTCCCTAAAGAAGTCAAGCATGTACTGAAGTGAAGCTGGGTCGTACTGGTTTCGTAAGCCACTGTTTGCAATCTTAGGGAGGACATTAGCTTACGTCGACTTGCACTGCATCGCCGTCTGCAAAGCCACCCATTTGGCCCTCAGGGAATAATCCATTGGGGAACAAAGATAGCAGCACAAACTCGGGCAAAGTAAGCAGCTCGTCCCTAGAGAGATAAAACCTTGTGCCCCTATCTGAGAATTAGTACACTGGCAGATAAACACCCGGTTGTCACGCTCACCTTAGGTCCATAGCAATCGTCTCATCGGCACCAACATCTCCAAGAGTGCTAACAGGCGGTCCACCCTGTTGCACCTGAGTAATAATACTCGCGGCTCCTCCTGCGGCAGCCATTAGGAAAGAGAATGTGGAAAGGGGACTATCGCCCTCTTCTGAATAAGCCGGAGGCGGTTCTGCGTCGTCGTCTTTGCGACTGGAATCTCCCTTGGTATCCCGAGGAAGCGCGCGCTTGGTCTCTGCGACTGGATCGCGGAATGCAGTAGTGCTCTGATCCGGGTCAAAGGGGAGAGCTTCTCTAGGCGAGGAAGATTCGTATGCTGGTGCAGCTGAGCCCGATGCCTCTGCTTCGCAAGGAGAATGAGCGACAAAAGCGACGAATTTGTGAGGACGCTCGTGAGCGTCGTGCGGCGGGGAGGTAAAGAGCGACGAGAAGGGGGGAGGACGAGAGGTTGAAGGTTCGGAGGCGGGATATTGCGGCGGAGGTGATTGATCGCGACTCAAAAGAATGTGTGATTCCGGTTCTTGAGCGGATTTGAGGTCGTCGGGGGTCGGTTCGCGATGATGACTTGATGTTGTTCGAGTGCTTGGCGGTCTTGATGAGTCTGGTGACGGCGTCTTCTTCTCCAAGGACACTGATGGTCCAATTCCAGCTTCCTGAAATTCAGACAGGATGGCGGCTTTCTTCTAAGAGAACACGAATTCGTACTAGACGAGACTGCCCCAAGTCGGCAAAAGGAGCAGCGGGAAAAGAGCAGTCGATTTAGGATGGATGGGTGTGATTGATTCCAAAGGTGGTTGGCAAGGTAAACAGTCTAGGGATGGAGTCGAAACATTAAAGGTTGGCGGAAATTAAGCAAAACAGCCGAATCAGGAGGGCTCTCGTTCTTTCTCGTATCGCAAGTCGCTGCCTCGTCGCGTTTCGAGGCTCTGTCTAAGGTATTGGATATCTGGCGATGTGATGTGATAGATGCGATGTGATGCGTGAGTGAGGTTCACATTGGTCCTAATGAAAGAACAACGGGCAGCGCGATTCCTCATTCGATGGCGGCTGCTCCCCTGAGGTGAGCCCCCCAAGCTTGAGTGACACTAAATTGGAGCCCCGCGATATAGTTAGAGTATCCAATCAAAGCTCTGTTTGCGATACTAACAGGGTCCTAGCCGCTCACCTAAGTGGAGCGGCGGCGCTAGAGGCGCTGGAGTTGTAAGCCTAATCTTGGCATTCATCTTTGAGATGAGTGGTGATAATCATCCATGAACGAGGGCAATATTTCTGATTTTTCCGCTATCAATGGGTTTTTTCCTTTTCGCAACACATTAGCCTAATGTCAGATTTCTCAACTCTAAGTGTTGTGTTTTGGGTTCAACGGGGACGTTGAAAGGATACGTAGTGGCTGAAACGACTCATTAACTGTCTGTCTTGTGACCAATGACTTGCAATTATAGATGGTATTATTTATTCGCTATCACTATCTCCAAATATTGCCCGAAGAACTTCATCATGTGCCGTTTTACCCTCAACTGCTTCATTCTTATGCGGATTAACGGCGGACTCGGGCTCAAGAGCTGGTGGTGCTGTGTTTGCAGGGACTCCTTCGATTGACTTGACATCGCCAGCCGGGAATGTTGAGTTCATCTTGACATCGTCCATGGGCCCTGAACCTCCATCACGGTTCGTCGTCCCGGGGTCAGGTTTTGCCTCAGCCTCCGCTTGAGAATGCGCGGGCGGCCTGACATTGAATCGCTTGCACAATAGCCTTGTTGGATAAAAGTCTCCAACTGTTCGAGTCATTTGCCCATACATGCCGATTTTGGCTGCCTCTTCTGCTGGATCTGCGATCTTTGGTTCGGGTTTCGACACCAGATCTGTCTCAGATACGTTTGCTGAGACGACTGTTGGTTTCTTCGCCGTGGTGAATCGAGATGCCATAAACCCTGTCATCGGTTTGAAGATCCTCGCACAATTGTGGAATTCCGACAATTCCCTGGCAAAGTCGTCAAACGCCATGCCCTTGGGTTTGAACGGGAGCGGTTGGCTGCCTGTTGCAAAATGCTCCAGATAAGTTCTATACCGCGCCTTTTTCTCTTCATTGTCTGCGTAGGGTCCAGAGGAGCCTCGAGAAATAGCTGCAATGGCTGTCTCACGATCCAGCTGGGGTGCTTCATCCCATACCTGTTGCTGTCTTTCCTCTTCTGTCATGGAGAATCCTTCTGGGACCTCTCCCAAACCCTGGGGAAGATTTTTGTTGCCGGAAGCTGCAGCAAGTCGGTCGCGTGCTGAGCTCGTGATATAATCAAAGACCGATTTTCCTGGTAGGCTCTTCTCTCCAAGAAGCGCCGCTCTAGACTTTGCATCATGGGTCGATGCTTTTGCAGCCTCTGCTGTTGACTTGTAATCTGGCTTGGCTTGGTCTATAGGGGATTTTGAGGACGCCCATCCTTCTGGAACCGGAGGCGGTGCGTATTCCAAAAAAAGATCGGATAAGTCTTCTGTAAGTTTGGCGATTACAAACCCATCGAGTGGTAATCGCCCATCATGACACCGTCCAAGACCAATACCAGCTCGAGCAGTTCGAGACACAAAGACAGGCGCATTTTTCAGAGCAGGGTTAATTGCTGCTGTTGCTTTCTTCGCCTTCTTTTTCTTCTTATCACCGCCCATGACACGATTGTATCTGATCTTTGGTCCCATTTCGTAAGGATCTTCCTCATCGGAGCCATTGTCATTCAAGATGCCCACTCCTATACCACCTCGGCCAGGCTTAGTCTTGGACTTTTGCGAGAGCAAAAAGGAATCCCGGAGACCATTATCGTGAGAATTGTCCTCGTCGTTGTCATCATCATCATCTGCTGCAGACGTGATAGGATTCAAACCCGACAACTTGGCTTCTCCGTCGTAGCCCAGTCCCTTTCGGTCGTTCTTGCGAACAAACTGAATCATTTTTGCATTATCAGGCGCAAATAAATGCGTTTCAGCAGGCTGAGAGCTTTTATCTCCTAGCTCAAGGCGGGCGCTTCTCCGAATCTTGGGACCAATGCCTTGTCCATCTTTCCATCCCATGCGCCGCAACAGTTTCAATCCCATGGTATCTCCTTCAGCCCTCAGGAGGCCCATCAAGCCTCCGGCATTGGGATCCTGGCCGGAGGAGCCAAGACCAGCAAATGCTTGAGAAGTCTGGACTTTCTGAGCTTCTGCCGCATCAGCAAGGTCCTCTTCATCCATGTAGTCTTCTGGTCGTTGTTGCGATTGGTTTTTGGCATCTTTGTGGCGGCTGTTTCTACTCGAAACGAAAGTCGACGGTGTCCATCCCTCCTTGGATCCGACAGTGTTGAAGTAACTACTAAAATCAGCGCAAAGTCCTGGAAAAGAGATCTGTGTACTAACCCTGCGCTCCATCCGCCGGTAAATGCGCCATGGAGGCGTTTTCGACCTCTCTCATCCCTCACCTCCTGCTTCCATACTGGAACGAAGGAGCCATCATCTCGAGCATCGGGATCATCGGGCAAAGGAGTGCCGAAAGTTGCAAAGGGTGCATGGAGATCGGCTTCGTACGTCGCACGGGAGCGTTTATATGACATGAGACTGAGATGTCGATGTGTCGCGTAGTTTCCTTAAAAGCATCGGACTAGCACTTGATGTCATAACATGTGGAGAGCGGGAATATCTTCAATGTTACTAGATAGTTTGCGATGAGGATAGAAGCTGAGTCGTCGCGAAGCTACAATTGGAGTCGCGACGTCAAATTGGGCTTATCGATAAGAAACAGAGTTGCGGCTTCTCCCATCCCATGCCTAAAATTTGGGGGCCCTGGCGTCAGTCAGGCTTCGTTCACCATTGACCGTTTTTAGATTTTGGCAGGGGGCTCTATCGAAAGTTGGAGAACTTCGGTCTAACTGAGATTCTTCAGCGTCGGGTATGCAAGTGCACGCGTGTGAAACGTTGCTGATCGAGGACCGTTCCATTTGTGGGAGGACACAATCAGAAGCGCAGCTTTGAAACAGTTTCCCAAAGCGGTTCAACTGTAAACGATTGTCATATTCATTCAGAGACGTCATAGCCCTGAAGTTATCCTAGAGCAATACGAAAAAGGCTATTCGTCCGTCCATCTCTCTGCGGATATGGTTTCAGACCTGACTTAAACCTCTGAACTCGGAGACGTGACTCGGTGAGGCATTCTTTGCTTCTGATGGACTGTACGGAGTAGTTGGCGATTGTCAATGTACCTAGGGGAGGAAAGAAAACTCAGGACCTCGATCCTAAGTGACAAAAGGATTTAGGTGGTATAGCCTAAGCTTAGGATGACTTTTACTGAGTTTATTCTGACACCCTATCAAGGTCTGTTGTTTTCTTGCCCCTTGAGGTCTACCTACCAAGGAACCCTCGGCTGAGGTCTGGCTTGGCATTCCGCCTGAGGACGGTGGCTGGCTAGGAAGAGGTGATTGCTAGGTGTTAGTGAACACGAGACAAGGATGTGTTGCATCACAACACATCGCATCATACCCAACACTTCACACAAGCAGCAAGGTCTCATGTACTCGCCAGGCTTGTGGCTGCTTCGATTTTGCTTCTTCTGGCTCTGGAACAACTGTCGCATTCCAGCCCAATGGTTCCCAAGACACATCTGCCGCAAAAAGGAGACGGGATGTGAGCATGACTGCAGGATACATGAAAAGAAAGCGAAGCCCTCTACTGTGTCGAACAGAGCATGAAATTGAGGCTCACGATTTCTTTCAAATCACAAAGATGTCATAATAAGCTTAGTTGAATTGCATAACCCATTGTAATCAACAGATATTTCCGCAATTTTCTTGAGCTCCAACCTTGAAACCCCAGCCTCCAACCCCTCGTCTAATCAGCCACGTAAATTTGCAGCACTCTGCGACAGATCCACTTAATAGATCAGAAATGCAGTGTTCTGGCTGGGTAGCTGACGTCGGATTATGATTCTTGGCTTTGTTGTTGCTGTAAACAGGGAATTGGGCTTGGTAAGGGTCAGAGATATCGTGGAGCGAAACAGCCCAAAGTCTACCAATTGCAGTATGTGCAACGGCTTTCGGTCGAGACTTTGTTGACCACTAACTCTAATAGAGACCAGTGGCTCCGGCAATGTCGTCAAGGTTATTGACTAGCAAGTGAAGAGATCCATTCCTGACAGTCCAGCGAAATGAGAGCTCAGCTCGAGCGAGATATCTCATCTCCACCCAAGGACTGACCGTTGGTGGAAAGATGAAGCTACCTGTGTGCTAAGTGGAAAGTCCCCTGAAACGACTGAGATGCCCTGCTGTGCTAGTTGGGTAGCTCAAAGACAGCTGGACGGTGGTGGGCGAAGTCTCGGCAGCTTGCAGCTGGATACATCCAGGTGTATCCTGGGCATCCAAGAGTTTAGAACCCAGGTTACCTTAGCAGATGGGACATGCCGCTGCTGCTGCTGCTGTCCGCCAGGACCAAGTCATTTTTAGCTACAATACCCATTATCCAATCTGAATCTGGTACCTAATGAGCTGCTTCTTTTTTCACCCGCCCCCCGATTTGGGATTTGACAGACGCTGTGCTGTCTTTCTTACTCGATCTGCTTGTCAGGTTTTGAGATCTTTACTCTCTCATCCTCTTGCATCTGTCTATTTGCATGCATATCTGCGTTGCTTTGCATTTCATTGCCAGCAGCTACTATATCTCATTCCCACCTCCGTATACCAGGCTCGGATTTACACTGCCGTAGCACTACTTGCTGGTTTATATCAAATCAAGACTACGACTACGGCACTTGTTTCTTGTCTTACTTTTATCATTCTTTTGCATATAGCGCAGTTTCGCTTTGCTTTCGACCTAACTGCTCCAAGAACCTTTTTGTCTGTGTCCGTGTCCGAGTCTGAGTCTGAGTCTGAGTCTGAGTCTGCGTCTCGGTCTTGGTCTCTTATGCAATTGCCAGTATCACAGCCCCTCGTCGTCGCAAATCGCAAGCTGAGAAGAGCCCTCAGCCCATGATAGTAACCAGGTAATCCTGATCTTTCACCTCTCACGTCGTACTCGACCAGCAGAAACACCAAGAGTCTTGCTAGTATTCGACAGCAATTGCGACTACGTTACGACTGCGTTGGCATCTGTTACTCCAATCCATTTTCAAGGCCTAATAAGGACGGACTCAGACCGGGTCATCCTCCCTGCCCACCAACTTAGGCATTGATGCTACAGCAAGCGAACGACAGCTCACTGCCCCTTTGAGCAAAGAAGCCCCAGAGTAGAAGGGACCCGTTCAGTTCATCGATATCCCGCCTTTTTATTACACCGTCTATCTCTCACGACTGCACAGCGCATCGCATCGCAACACAACATAGCATAGCATAGCTAGCGTTTAGCTTCACAACAATGGGAACAAGGACAGCTTCTTCTGCTGTTGCCGATGTATCACCGAGAGGACCTGGTCGCACTCAATCTACACGGTCTTCTCGTTCCAGTCGGGCTCCAGCTCCCTCTTTTCCTCCCTCGTCTTCCGCTTCAGCGGCCCCAGCAGCGCCTGCACCAGCCACGCCCACTGGAACTGGTGCCAACTACACCCAATCTCACACCCGCCAGCTATCACACTCACACTCACATTCTCAATCTCGCTCCCAATCCCAATCCCAGTCCCAAGCCTACGCCTCCCGCTCTCAATCCCATTCCCACTCTCACTCCCGCTCTGGCTCAAACGCCGCCAACTCACATCTCCCCCCTCATAATAACCATCATCAGCGTACTACCTCATCTTCACGTCCTCACCAGTCGCAACCTGTACCGCAAAATGACTACGAATCATCACGCTTAGCCGCATCCGCAAACCATCAAAGAAGCTCGAGCAAGGAACGACCACCCCCGGCTAGGGGCCCCGATCCCTCGCGGGCCCATCGACGGAGCTCTTCTCGATCAAAGAACAACCACCACAGCCCTCATCCCGAAATGCCTCCTTCCGCCAACCCTCCCAGCAATGGCGCTGGCAATGGAACTGCTTCTCAGCAGCATGGCCATGCCGACGCGCCACCTCGAACTTCAACATCTAAGCACGCGAGATCACGTACCGTTATCCCGACTCAATCTGGAAAATGGATGCTAGGCAAGACCATTGGCGCCGGCAGCATGGGTAAGGTTAAGCTCGCCCGAAAGGAGGATGGCAGTGAACAGGTGTGTTTAGGATTCATCTTTTTTGTTTTATGCCGCCTATTTCTGCGCATCGTTTCATCATTCGGCTATTCGCATTCATTCATTCATCCATCCATCCATCTGCCCCTCTTGCCTAGGCCGCGATGACGATGCTTATCAAGCTTTAAATTTCCACGATACTAATCACGCCTCACCAGGTCGCCTGCAAAATTATCCCTCGTGGCTCAACCGACGATGGCCACCAATCTCGTGCCGACAAGGAACGCGCCGATCAATCCAAGGAAATCCGAACTGCCCGTGAAGCGGCTATCAGCACCCTCCTGAATCACCCCCACATCTGCGCCCTTCACGATGTGGTTCGTACCAACCACCATTGGTATATGCTTTTCGAATACGTCAACGGCGGCCAGATGCTCGACTACATCATCTCGCATGGCAAGCTCAAAGAGAAGCAAGCCCGAAAGTTTAGTCGGCAGATCGCAAGTGCTCTGGATTATTTGCATAGAAATAGCATCGTCCACCGAGACCTCAAGATTGAGAACATCCTTATCAGCAAGACGGGCGACATCAAGATTATCGATTTTGGTCTAAGTAACCTCTTTGCTCCGCGTGGCTATCTCAAGACCTTTTGCGGGAGCTTATACTTTGCTGCTCCCGAATTGCTGCAGGCCAGAGCTTATACTGGTCCAGAAGTTGACGTATGGAGCTTTGGCATTGTTCTGTATGTTTTGGTCTGTGGCAAGGTTCCATTCGATGACCAGAGCATGCCCGCGCTCCATGCCAAGATCAAGAGAGGTCTTGTCGATTATCCCGCGTGGCTGTCAAGCGGTAGGTTACTCAAGTGTTGGTCTTGTACTATCTTCTAACTGAATTGCAGAGTGTAAACACCTTCTATCCCGCATGCTGGTAACAGACCCCAAACAGCGAGCGACAATGCAGGAGGTGATGACGCATCCATGGATGGCTAAAGGCTTTAACGGTCCCCCCGATAACTACCTACCCATTCGCGAACCATTGACTACGCCACTCGAGCCAGAAGTCATTCTCGCTATGCAAGGCTTTAACTTTGGTACACCCGAAAGTATAAATGCACAACTTACCAAAATAATTGAATCAGAGGAATATCAGCGCGCCGTTAAGCTCTATCAACGAGAAAAGGAGCTCCCTCCACCCGCCAAGGATGCCGAAAAGAGGAGACCATTCGGTTTTGACTTTTACAAGCGCAGAAATTCTGGCAACAGTCGCGATACTCTGTCGGCTCCTAGTTCTGAGGCACTGCAGATCGGTAACGATCCTATGAATGCATTTAGTCCTCTTGTGTCCATATACTACCTCGTCAAGGAAAAGCAGGGTCGCGACCATGCTGATATGGTTTCGCCAGCAGCGGCTCAAACACGTGACAAGGAGAAAGAGAAGGAAAGGGAGAGGGAGAGGGAGAAGGAGC